GCAGCAGAATAAGAAAATTGGGGCTTCGCAAGCGCACGACCCCGTTTTTCCATATCGAATTTGCGATATTTTCGTTTTGGAGAAGGGCAAAGCCCTTCGCTACATTATCAGCGACCTTCCATAAAGAGCGTTTATCTTTCGCTGATGCGAATTTCCACTTGGAGGCTTTAAAACCGCCGCTGTTCTCCAACTGGGAGAACATGGAGCGACCACTCAAGTGTTGACGTTAAGTCGCCAGAATGAAGCCATCATTTCCAGTCATTTCTAGTCAGCCGACTGCATTTTTTTATTTGCCCGAATAAACTGGAATTTTCCCAGCCGGAAATTTGCGCAATTTTAACGCTGTTATCGTGTTCGCAGTTGAGTGGAAAATCGGCGAATTGCCAATAAAAACGCGCGTTTTGTGAAAATTCCATGCACTGTTCCCGCCCTCCTCCAGCAGACATCGTTTCCATTTGTTGCATCCACTTTCTCCATTAACAATGGCATTGTCTCGCTCCATGAACTGATAGTCTGAGAACCAGTTGGGTAGCAGTTGGTCGCTCCACATTAACCTCGACATTAATGGTAATTCACGCTCCATTAATCACAGCCGCTGTCAGTTGGGATCGTGGAGAAAATCAGCGACAGATTAATTTTTGCTCTCCATCAATTGCCAGCCCTCCAATTGGAAACAGCTCGAGGATGGGCTTGGCACAAGGCGCAATTGTAGCTGCGGTTTCATCAGCTACCGTCGCCGCTACTAAATTAAACCGGTTGAACATCAGCTAATTTGTTTAAATTAATTAAACATTTTAAGTTTTTGAGAGATTTTCCTTGATGACATAGATGGAAGAAAGATCCTGGGGCCTGTGAGAGTAAAGCATTGATCATTGTCCAAGTCATTTTTGTCAATTTTTTTCCGAAAATTGAGTTGTGGAAAACCTAAGTTTTCACCAGATTTGGATGCTGATAATATTAGAGAATATTGTAGGTTTCCATGCGGGAAACTCACTTTTTCTGCAGAGTAAACTCTGGTTTAAACACGAGCGGTTTCAGGCAAATGCGCGCTTTGCTTTGAAAAATCGTGCGCGAGGCAGGTAGAAACGTGAAAGTTTCCCAACATATGGCAGAAACTGGTTTACAAAATTCTGAAATTTTTATTTAAATCGCCAGAAATCCTGAGTTTCTAGTGCTGGGTGACGAAAAATCGCGCTCTATCTAAAAAAATCGTCAACGCCCAACTAGAGCCAGTAGAAACTTGAAAGTTTCCCAACGCAATGTGGATCGTTTCGTCTCCAAACTGTGGATTTTTTAGTTAAATTGCGCGGTATCTCGATTTTCCCTTGCTGCGAAAGCGGTGGTTTATAAATGAGCGTTTTCACACAAATGCGCGTTCGGTTTGAAAAAATTGTAGTTGCTAACTACGGGCAGGTAGAAACTTGAAAGTTTCACAACATGTAAAAGACACTTGACTTCCAAATTACAGCGATTTGTGTAAACATCGCACACAATTCTGAATTTTTACTGCTCGATGAATGAAAAACTTAAAATAAATACGCGCTCTATTTATAAAAGAGCGTCTACTCTGAACTAGAGCCAGTAGAAACTTGAAAGTTTCCCAACTCAATGTGGATCGTTTCGTCTCCAAA